TGTTGAGAGCCACAGCCGAAGGGGCCCCAGCAAACTTCCAGCTGCCAGCTGATGATTGGCTCACAGCGGCCCCAGCAACATCTAGCTGATTGGCTCCTCTGCAGTGATGCTCCTTGGGCTGTTTCCCTGCCCTTTCAGACCACAGAGCTGCTCATTGGGGGACTTTTTGGCTCCGCCCACACGACCCAGCCAATCGGCCTCAAGAGCAGGAGGATTGTGGGAGGTGGAGAGGTTTGTGGTTTTGAGGGAGAGGCTTGTGGGAAGCCAGTGGTGGCAGATGGCCTCTGAGGGTTTTTCCTGAGGAGCTGTTTTGTTTGGCCTGTGTGGTTCTAAAAATAAAGTTCGTTTCTTTTGACAAGTGGCTCCTGAATTGTGCCCAGCCAGACTGCGGCAGAGAATAAGTGATATTAGACATGGGGGACACAAAGGAGACTCCCAAATGGGGCAAGAAGACAATGGCTTCTCTGACACCCAAGACCAATACTGAAGGATGGTAGCAAGAAAAGGAGGAGGAGGAGGCAGGTGGCAGAAGAAAGGTAAAATTACTAGGACGTGGAGGAAATTATTGGGGAGGGTAAAAGGACTTCAGAGCACTGAGATGCAGGAGTAGGGGAAGCACACAATACATGCAGGCACAGGCTGGGAGTGTGAGCCACACTGATATCCCTTGTGAAGTCAAACAGTGTGCCCCTTAAGACAGAGCATCCCTGATATCAACTCTGCCAGGCACAATCAATGGGCTTAAAGAACGCAGGGGGTCTCTGCTGAGATCCCAAAAAGAGTCACAGAGTGTAAGAACTGGAGGGAATCTGAAGTCCCATCTGCATGTTACAGATCAAGACACCATCCAACGTCACACAACCACACAGTGACAAGCCAGTGCTATGCTCAGAGTCCGGACTCTGTTCCACCCCATAACCCTCTGCTGAGATTCCAGCATATGCACGCAGCCTTCAAAATCTAGCCCCTGGTCTGATTGGGAGAGTGACCCCCTGTGAACGGGAAGGAGAGGAATCTCATTTAGAAAGCCAGAATTACCCAGGGGGAGACAGGGACATCCCATAACCTGAATCTCGGTTCTCACCCTCAGTAGGCTCCTGGCCTCTCTCCAACTGTGCACTTTCACAGATCCAGTGTCTTCTAACAAAGGTCACCTGTGCCTGGGGTGGGCAGTGCAAAGCACTGAATCCCGCCCCTTCTAAGCTGCTCTGAATGTTTAGTTCTGTGGCCAAGTCTCAGTGCTGTGCTCAGAGTGAGCAACGTCGCACGCAGATGGCACAACTGTTTGGCTTCATTCAGAGAAACTGTGACGAAAAAACAGTGCCTCTTAAGAGTATTCAGTCCACCACCTGAACGTGGTACACAGAAAGATTTCTGCTTTGTAAGCAATTAAGGCTTCCTGGTAGCCAACAGCCAAGGAAATCGTCTGCATTCCTATTGTTTTGTTTTGAAATTTTGTACAGCTTTATTGAGCTCTAATTAATTGATATACAAACACCTGCATATAGCTAATGTATACAATTTGATGAGTTTGTAGGAATCCTCAGGAGAAAAAAATAATAATAATCAGAGACTGGGGTTATCTGATTCCCTGGAAAAGCTTCACCTTGAACTTTAAAATGCAGGTAAATTCTCTTTTTAAACAAAAAAGCTATTGTCATCAACAAGGGGGAAAAAAGGCTTGAAAGAATAAAGTAGCTGGGATATTCATTGTCAGTCATTAACCTGATTTTCTAATGAATATGGCATTAGGCATTCATTAACAATCATTTGTGTTTATGTTGAGCAGTGGATGTATAATGAAGGTTGGTAAATGAAAGCAAAATTAAACCAGGGAATTTTGGACACTTATAAAGCAATTAGCTTGTTTGGCAGTAATTACACATTGAAAGCTAAATCAAGTGCATTTAGAAAGCCACAAGAGTCGCCCCATAAACCTGAGGTGCTTTGCTCTAAAATAATAATAATAATAAAAGCCTCTCTTTCCTTCCAATGAAAAAGAAAGGCAAAAATGTGGTATAAACGACAAGCAAGACTCAGGTCCAATAAAAAGAAATAGAGTTACAGTCCATATGTTAGAGAAGAGGCGAGTTACCCAAAATTAGGACTGCCCAGCCAATTTAGAAAAAAAGAAGAAGAAGAAAGAAAAGAAAAACTCTTTGAAACATGATGTGAAACCAGGTAGCACACACTGAAGGGTTCAAGTTTTGCTCTGTCTGTGTTCACAGGCACACACACCAAGTTTACATACTCCAACCTCCTACCAGTTGCATGAACAAGAAAAACCTAATGTACAGTCAGGTACCTGGCGGCCACGCATCTCGGTGGCAGGCTTTTGTAACTAACAATTTGGTCTCTAAACCACAATCTTTCATTTCACTTTCAGGGACTCTGTTTTTTAAAAGGAAGAGAACAAGGTAAATCATTTGAAAAGGATTGGAGAGAAAGCACTACTGAACACGTGATAAAGCAAAAGAAGTAAAATGCAAAACTCCTGGCAGTCACAAAATTTGTCAACAGAGATGTGACTACTCCAAAAATACATGCAAAATCCAATGAAGCTTTTGGGTGAAGAGTTAATATTTTTCAGAATTTTTAATCTTACAGTATTTAGCTGAGAAATATTAGAAATGTGCTGTTTAAGTGTATTGCGGGTGGGGGGGGATTTACTTCCGAGGGCTACAAAAACATGATTATGCTGTGGGAGAAAATCTTCAGAGGAGCCCCCATCTGAGCAAAGGGACAGAGGTTTTCAAACTGGAGTCAAAGTCTCCGTTACCCTCCTCAAAAAGGTCTGAAGATTCGTGAGCCCTTCTCATCAGACAAATACCTTTGCAAATAAGGGGTTGCAAGCTCTGAAGGGTTAGTAACCAAAAGAAAAGTTCCCAGGGGGATCCACAAAAGGCAGCTGGCTTTGTGGAAACATTGGCAAAGTGCTTGGGTGTAGACTATGCTAAAAGCAAATACTTGCTTTGCCTCTGGGATTGGAAGGGAGAACGGAAACCAGGAGATAGCTTTGAAATGCTCTCTTCAGTCATGAACTGCTATCACATTTTAAAAAGCATGTTTGCCGTGATGAGGTAGTGCATTTCTTTCAAAAGATGTGGTCCCTCCTTAAAAAACAATAAATTATTTTATTTCTAAGCAGAGGTTCAAGATGTTAAACTGAGGCCCGACAAGGTGGCGCATGCCTGTAATCCCAGGGGTTTGGGAGGCTGAGGCAGGAGGATTGCAAGTTCAAAGCCAGCCTCAGCAACAGCAAGACGCTAAGCAACTAAGTGAGCCTTTGTCTCTAAATAAGATGATAATACAAAATAGGGCTGGGGGTGTGGCTCAGTGGTCAAGTGCCCCTGAGTTCAATCTCCAGTACCCCAAAATTTAAAAAAAGATATTAAGCTGAAGACCTCATTTCTCACTTATTTGAACCCTTTCTGAAATATTAAGATCATCTACTTAGTTCTAATCTAAGGGGTATTTCACTTGCAGTTTTCTTGGTCAGGGAATTCCTTCCTGATTCTGATCAAGAACTCATCAATGGACCAGTGCACTATTTGGTTCTCTTTGCAACAGTCCTGATACCTTTTCCTGAGTCTTCATAGACAAACACATTTATGCATCAGGAATTCCAGGGAGTCCACTATTCTCAAAGGCAACTGCTACTAATCCAGTGCTTTATTGTGCATTCCAGTCACCTGGGGACCAGTTCAAACACAGGTTCTAACTGAGGAGGCCTCTTGTGTTCTTTTTGTCAACAAGCCGCACACAGTGTCAGTTCCCAGACAACAAGACGCTGATCCACGCCTCCTTGTAGTACATCCCTAATGCAAGGAGACCTTCAGATCAAGACCAGGGGTTAATGAAGCCCTAGAAGTAGATCAAATCCCCTCCAATAAGAGACCTGGAAAGTGCCATGATCCAGAAGACCAGCAACGGAGGAATATCCACTAGGATTGGAGCACATGAGGAAGTGTCCATCGCCACTCCTAAGCATCTGGGGGCTTCCCGGCTGCTCTAGCTTTGCTGTCCACTTGTCTAATTGTTGAAATCAAGACAATTCCATTTATCAAATAATTATTGTTATGTCTTGCAATATGCCCAGCATCAAAGGTACAAACATAAATGCAGCATGATTCCCAGAAGTTTCCACCAGCATGACGCCTGCACAGCGTTGAGAGAGAAAAGGAGAGAGAGTAGGCAAGGGTCAGTGAAGGTGGACATGAAGGCAAGTATGAGGACAGCCACTCTAACAGACCTCTACATCCCTGCTTCTCAGAAAGGACACGTCCCCATCTTGCTGAAAGTGATTGCGTAATCCATAACCAGGCCCTCGACCATTGCAAAATCAAAAACCAATCAAGAGGAGCTTATCAGCTCCTCCTCACCTGCCTTTAAAAGGAGGAGTGAGGCAAGACTTCAGGGGCACTCTTGCCCCTTGGGGAGTGTTCACGCAGAGTTCTGAATCTTCCTCTCACTTTCCCTGTTAATAAAATTCCAGCTGGCTTGCTTACCTTGATGGCGCTCTCCATGTCCATTCTTGACTCCAAGGAACACGAGCCCAATCCCAACTCCTGCAGTGAAGGGCAGGAGGGACGTGAGGTACCAGGGAAACTCCTCGCCAGACCTAAGCTGAAGAAGGTTCAGACAAAGGAGAATCATCAGGAACCGCTTCTTGGAAGGGATGTCAGTTGAGCTGAATTTTGAAACAAGAGCAAAATCTATATTTAGTTGGAAAAGAGGGAGTAAAAGTGTAGTAGCAGAGGATTGGTATGCAGAAAAGTCTGGCCTGGAAGGACATTCTCTCATGGCAGTTACTGCCAGACACAATGATAGGGTGTCCTTACAATAAATAGTGCCCCAATCCTCCGCCACAGCACTTTCTTTTTATTTGTTCTTTTTAGTTATACATGACAGTAGGATGTATTTTAATATATTACAGATATGTGGAGTATAATTATTCTAATTAGAATCCCATTCTTGTGGTTGTACATGACGTGGTGTACACTGATGATATATTCATCCATGAACATAGGAAAGTTATGCCCAATTCATTCTACTGTTTTCCTATTCCCATCCCCCTACTTCCCTTCAATCCCCTATCTAATCCAATGCACTGCTACACTCCCCCCCCCACCTCTTATTGTGTGTTAGCATCTGCATATCACAGACAACTTTTGGCCATTGGTTTTGGAGGGATTGGCTTGTTTCACTGAGTATAATATTCTCCAGTTCCACCTATATACTGGGAAATGCCATAATGTCATTTCTTCTCTATGGCTGAGTAATACTCCATTGTGTACAGATACCACATTTTCTTTATCCATTCATCTGTTGAAGGGCACCTAGGTTGGTTCCATAGCTTAGCTGTTGAATTGAGCTGCTATAAACATTGATGTGGCTGCGTCACTGAAGTATGCTGATTTTAAGTCCCCAAAGGACTATTCAACAGCCACTATTTTTATCATTGCATAGTTTGTAGTTAAAAAATTAAGAAGCCCAGGGTTGAGGATACAGCTCAGTTGGTAGAGTGCTAGCCTCGAGTGTACAAGGCCCTGGGTTCAATTCCCAGCACCACACAAAAAAAAAAAAAATCAGAAGCTCAGGAATTTAATGACAGCCAAGGCAACACCACTATTAAGAGGTGGGGTTATGATTCCAAAGTGAGGCTGCACAGTTGTAAAGCCTGCATTCTTTTCACAATGTTCTAGTGTCTTCCATAAGTATTTCTGAATGCCAAGACACAAGGTATGTGGCAGCAAGTGAAAACACAAGAGATTGGCACTAAGTTTCTACACAAAGATTTCAGCCTCTATTTTTACTTCCCTCAACTAGTACTTTATTTACACAGAAAAACAATTTATCCCAATTCCGTGGTGATTTAGGATTTTAATAGCCTTGGGCAGATCTCCTATTGACCAAGAATTTGAGACTCTCTAAACAACTAAGATTTTACTTTTGGTCCCAGCTTATATATTACCTTTTTTTTTAAAAAAAAAAAAAAAAAGGTCTAGATTTTAAAAAGTGAGATCAGACAGGACAGCTGAAAGTGAGCCAACAGGATGGTTGACCAAGCCACAGCTAGTCCTATGGAGCCCTCAGACAAAGTTAAAAAGAAAAAAATATGGCACCCTCTCTTGGCAGATACAGACACATGACAGGACGTGGTTTGGTCAGTAAATACCCTTGTGTAGGGCAAACCCTTCCAACCTCACATGGTGGTGGCCCTGGCTGTCAGCTGGAGTACATAGCACAAGGGTGAACACAAAAACCAGATTCCAGAAAGAGAGTGAAGCGGAAATACCAGCCGTGGGTATGGTACACACTACTTTTAGGAGTTTAACCATGAATGGAAAACAAGAGATGGGACAGAATCCAGACAGGGCAGCAGGGTCAAGTGTTGACTTTTTCTCCCCCTAAATAATTAGAGAGATCTGGGAAAGCTTGGAGACAGAGGAAGGGGGTGTGGAGGTGAGGAAGTAGGCTTAACACACACAATAGTCAACTTTAAATTCAAAAGCATCAGTTCCTAATTCTAATCCTCTCTTCAAGGAAAACAAAATCATCTAGGATTAAAAGACTCTTTGAATCTAAAAGGAGGTAAACCTGATTCCCCTCTCAAAATAAGTAGTAAGACTCAAGCTTGAATAAAATAATTTTATTCAAATAATTCATTCTTTGTGTATATCATGATTATAAATTGATTTCTCAATTTCTCATGGCCAGTCACTGATTTCAGAAGCCCAAGGATAATAGTGGGAAAAAATGAATTTACCCACATATTTATATAATTATTCTTTGTTTTATTAAAGCATAACTCATAAGTAAATTCCTTGTTCCTTTTACACCCAGTAAACTGTGCAAAACCAAAACTACATATTCCTTTCTAACTCCTCCATTTACAGTTTTGTAGCAAAAAGCACTAAAATAACCATTGCTAGAAAATCCTGTCTTTGGTTGCTGGAAAATCCAGGAGATATACAAGTTATAGTACATATGGCCAAATATCAGCAACTTCCTTAAAAATTCAATGAGCATAATTTTTAAGTGTAGCTAGACCTAGTGAACTCTTACCATGATTCACCTAAGTTTAGCAATAACTATCAGGAATACAAAGAGTTAAGGTTTGAGTTAATTGCATATTTCATCTTTTGACGTGGTTACCATTTCAGAAGACTCATTGAATTTTTAGAAACCCACCAGCCCAGTCAAAAGAAATCACAAATCCTTAACTAACATATGCTAACTTTTCTTTAAGGAACAAAAGAAGCATCTTTGTTTGTTCCTCACCAGCAAACACCGAGCCATCTAAAAAAAGAGTTCTTTCAGTGGCAATGTTAGCAGGGAAATTCAATTGTATTTAATTAAGTTCTTCCCCAAAAAACTGCACACAGAAGCATCAAAGAGGTTATCAGAGGTCAGATGCCTGTCATGACTTTCTGACCCTCCCAAAATGCAAAATAAAAGATAGTGGTATCCCCGCTGGTAAGACGGGCTTCCACATTTGTGTCTCTCCCTTTCTGCTTTAATTTAATAGCAATCAGGACAATATGGCTGCTTTTTTCTGAACAATGGGACGGGCAGAAGTTAGATTTACAGCGCTGCAAGGGGGAGGCTGGAAACAAGGGAGGCTCACTATGGCTTTTAAGGTTCAATAAGAACATCACTTTGATACCCATAGAAAAAAACTTGAAAATCTATTTAACATTCATTGTGGTCCAAAAATGGACAGATGTGCACTTCTGAAATCTCATATTCTAGAATTACTTTAAGTTGTTTGCTTTCTTATAGATCCTTTTTAAAAGGGATATACACCTGAAAGGGATTTCTTCTTCCCTATCCAGAAATAAATATGTCTGGTCATGCTTTTTAGCAGCTCCCTGACTTTAAAATATTAAATATTTATGACCCTTATTTTTCTAACTGTCATGATTTTCACAAGTCTACAAACAATCTTATAATGAGAATGTATGGACATCACTAGAAGTTCTCAACATTTTTCATGGAAACCAGACAGAAATTAATTAAGCCAAATGCTCTTCGAAGTCTTGCATGTTTAATTACAAAGGAGTCCCAGACATGGAACTTACATCCCATGTTTAAGAAATTATATAGTTAAGTGACCCAGTAAAAATAACCTCAGAATCTGGGACCCAGAAGACATCTTAAAGATCATCTAATCAACATCCCAGCTGATATTTAAATCTCCATCACACTCCCAACCCACTAGCATTTAGTCTTTAGTTAGATAATTTAAAAATTCTAAATTCATCCTTTCCTGTGGCCACCCATTTCCAAGGAGATGATATCTTCATAAGCAAAATTTTGAAGACCTAAACTAAAAGGAGATTAGTTTTGAGGCCCAGAGCCCCAAATTTTAATTCTAGTTGTGCAACCAATTTAGGAATTCAAATAATTCATTTAATTACCCTGTCCACAAATTTTAAAAAACGTAAAAGCATTTGAGTGATCATCTCTGAGCTAAGATCCTTGTGTTTTTGTGTGCTGATTTTTTCTGAAGGACTAGTTAGGTCAGGAGAGTGAATCTTCTTGGTTAGGCCAGGAGGGTGAATCTTCTTCAACTTGAACACCAACCCAGCTCAACTGGGGAAGGGCTGCCTGAAGACCCTTACAGGTTTCACAGGAAAGAGTACCTCGACTGATATCGTTATCATGGATAGCCACAAGCAAGTCCCACAGTGGATGGGAACCTATACCCATATTTACTAACTTTGCTCTGGGTCTTGACTTGAAAAGAGCTATAAGGTCATTTGGGACTATAACTTGCATAAGCAAGAATAGAAGGGAGAACAGAGCAGGTGGAAACAGAGATTATTTCCATAGTTGTTCTGGTCTTGGGAAACTGAGCAGCTGACATCCTTTGTTTCAGATCAGGAAAGTAGGCTAACAGTAGAAGACTGTGTGCATGTGTGTCCACTCACCCTCCTGAAAACCACTGAAGAGGGGAGAGTAAGGGTCAACAGTTACTGAGCACATCTCTGCAACCATATGTAGGAGGGACTATGATCTCCAGTCACATCAGAAAACATGAAAGACTAGATTCCAGGTCCAAGGACACTCAGTTACCAAACATGGGGGATTGGAACCAAGAACTGCGTGCAGTGTGCTTCCTACTACATGCCAATAACTTTTAATATTGTATTTAATTCCCCTTAAGAGAAAATACAGAAAAACACTGTGCTGCACTGGCCTCCTTCTTCGGCTGTCCCCTGGGCAGCACACTGCACACCTGCCATTCATTTGCCAACTTGACCCATGACATCAAGCTGACAGGTAGCTAATTAATTTGCTACATATACAAGAAAGAAAAAGAAAAACACCAATCTCTTTGAGTATTCACATTATTCTAATAGGGCTAGATTTCATCTTATTAATATTTCTCAGTATGCAAAAGCTTTAAAAGAAAACAGTGATCAAAGGAGGACTTGCTGTGAGTTTTGCTATGTAAAACTATAGCAATGTATTCTTTCCATAATCCTCTACTTTTGTTCCATAAGGCATGGTATCCTTGGGTACTCGAAAATACAGTCATCACCCAAAAGAAAATTTACAGAAAATAAATTCATTATGGACAAGTATCACTATGGTCAAAATGTCTCTCTCTAAACTTC